TTCCAGGTACGGCCCGCATCATACATTTTTACAGGCCGCAGTTTAAATTTAGTACGATTTTTATTTATTGATGTATGCCATCTAGACCCAAGTTAAGCTAGAGAGCTTGTGTTATACTAGATAACTGATACATATACATAGCTATTTTTTTGTAAATACATACATATTATACATAGAAAACCTCCAGACTGATACAAACAATCATACTCATGAATACACATGTTTGTGCAACTTTAATGCACGTTAACAAAATGTATTGGCGAAGTTAACACCTGGCTGCGTTATCTACCAGGCAACCATGAGTGGTACAGAGAAAGATTGTTGGCGGTGCACTAATATAAATTAGACATATCATGAAAATATATAAGGTTAAATATGTATAAAGTGCTATAAAAATTATACACATGTAAATATAGAAATATATACTTTATATGAATAAATATTTAATGATCTCACAATGAAATTGTAACTGTATTTTTATGGCCAGTAATAAGATACAAGACGAAGTGACCTATCTTCATATGTATACACGTATGAAGTTAGGTCACTTCGTCTTGATTCAACCATCCATTCAAAAGGGTCTGTACGTGTTTCCGTTTCAATTCCTTCGTCCTTCGTCGATATTTTTATAATGGTTTATACTAGAATGGTGCACTTGTCTGCGCTAACGGTTTATGCTGGCTACACTTCCACATTATTCAAATTCAAATTCAAAAATCATTTATTCATGTAGGACATTTTAGCCGCTTATGAACGTCAAATTTTTACATTATAAATTTATTTTTTCCCTACCGTCCAGTTCGGTATATAGATCCAATTGAGAAGAATTGGCAAGAAACTCAATTGAATTACTTTTTTTTTTAAAGCCAGTTTATTTACAATGTATTTTTATATAGGTGTCTATGTCTAACATTAAATGAAAATTCAGTGCATGAACAACTATTGCCATGCACACTCGTCATTCAAGTAATCGTTTAGTGAGTAATAGGCTTTACTCAGTAAATATGATTTAACAGATTTTTGAATTTATTTAAGGGTAATTACAACATATCCTTAGGTATCTTATTGTAAATTTTTATACCTATTCCCATAAAAGACCTATTAACTTTACTTACTAAACGATACTTGGGGACAGCAAGTTTGTCTTTAAAAAAATCTCCTCCTTTATAAAAATCTCCTCCCTTCCTTAAATTATAAGCGATTACCACCGATAATAAACATCTGTAATACCACGGGAATTACAGATGTGTTACCAACGCATTTCTCTACATACCCGTTTCTTTTCTAGAAGGAAAAGAAACGGGTATGTAGGAAAATCAGACTTAGGAAAGTGACAGGAGGTACTGGAAACCATTAATAAACTATTTTTGAATTTTGAATTTTACTACATCCGAAATAAAGAAAAATTTTCAATCACCATTATAATTCGGAAATGACTAATTTGGATATTTGTCGGATAGAATATCAGTATTTTCTGCGGCCCTCCAATTTATATTGTGGTTGGTATTGGCCCACGATCGTAACTGGTTGAGACAGCCCTGCTACAGTTGGAAGTTTCTAGGAAATTATTCTTTGAAGAGTTTGAATAACAGGTTTTGAGAGTACCGAGGTGTTTCCAATATTTTGGAGTATTTGTACTATTGTTTATTTATGTTGTTTATACGATATTTCAATAATACCTCACTCGTGTTTTTATTGTTTAATTAAATTGCTTGTGTTCCAGTTTTAAATGTACATTTATGTATTTATGTATTCTTGTTATTTTCATAGTTAATTACTGTATTGTACTGTATTTACACATTGTTTTTATATATATATTGATGAGAAATTTTATTCGTTGCAGTACAGAAAGTACAAGATCAAATTTCAGTGAATAAATACCTAAACAAAAATTTTCATCACATTTTTATTAGAAATCATTAATTATGTTAGAAAAAACATATGTTATTACAATTTTAAAATTATTATAATACAAAAAAATAACCAATTGAATTTCTTGCCAGTTATTTTTCCTATTTTAAATATTACACAAGAAGAATATTAATTTGTATGCGATACTAGCTGTGCCCAAATTTATAGCCTGTGTTATTCCGATGTATTAGTTATATTACTGTAAAGTTTCATCAAAATCCGTTAAGTTGTTTTTGCGTGAAAGAGTAAAAAATACCCATCCATCCATCTATTCATACATACTCACAAATTTTCGCGTTTATAAAATTAGTAAGATACAACTTTGAAGTAAAGGAAAATGTGATATGTCAGTAGTATAAAATAATGGTATAATTTTATATACTGAGAAATACCTAATATTTCACTGCCTAACTAAATATATGTATGAAGCTACTGTACTTAAATATTCATCGTACATAAAATGGTTGTTTCTTTAACCTGGTTTTTCTCTGTTTATTTTTGGTTCTGTCAGGACATGTTAAATGTAATAAGAGATGTTTATTTAAGCTTGGAACACAGAATGGACGATTTGTTGTCATAGGGGACGTGGGTAACCGCGCATATAAAATTATAGTCGACTTAGTAAGATATTGCGCATAAGAAATGAGCTACCCTTTATGAAGAGTGTGAGATATTTTAAAGTTATCTCATATATTATAACAATAGGTATATAATAGATATGCGTAGCGGTTTCTATATTGATTATCGCATGCCTACTTGTTTTTGTTAATTATTTATTTAAAATAACATTTATTAAAACGAGCAACACACAAGTTTCTTGCTCATTCTCGTGTGTCTGCGTTCCGAATCAGCGGTAGAATAAAAATATATTCAAAAGTGCTTATATTAAGTTTATTTGAATATCTTAGAGTTGAGTTCCATACCTCCAATACGCCAAATGGAGTAAATTCGATCTTTCTCCTATTATCCAGTATGTACACCGACAGTCAAAATCAACAATAAAGATTATTTCTATTTCTATTACAACGGAAAAGTAGCCGCAAGCAAAGCCTCACCGGCTTTGCTTGCGGCTATTTTCCGTATATATATAAACAAAGAGTACATATATGCATCATATATTTATATGTATATGTATATATACATTCTGACAAGGGTCCTAATGGACTTTGAAGCTTTTAGGACGAGGTGGTGCAGTTAATAATGACTGAGAAGCAAGTAGCATTTCACCCCATAATTTCAGCTACTTTCGAGTTTTGCATTCGGTTAAAATGTTAATTAATTTCGCCTGCCAGGAGTGGATTAACGTATAATTTACTTGCCAGTTATAAAAATACGGCCACTGGTTTGTTTTAGGCTTTTAATTACCCGAAATATTAAAAAAAATCTTGTTGATTGATTTGACGATCTTGGTGATTGGATCTAGCGGTTGACACACTGCCTTACTTCCGATGATCGCGTCGTATCAATCATACTCATGAATACAAACATTTGTATTTATAAGTATGTTTGTTTGTATCGGTCTGGGTGTTTTCTATGTATAATAGTTATGTATTTACGAAAAAAATATATATGTATCTATGTATTTGTATCAGTTGTCTAGTACCCATAACACAAGCTTTAGCTAGCTTAACTTGGGTATAGATGGCGCTGTGTAAATTGTTCTGAGATTATTATTATTGTGATAATTATGATTAGGTGTCATCTATTTTATATTTTTGTAAATTCTTACTCTCACTCACTATCCAAAGAGTGATTAGTGATAAGACAACCTTTTGGACATTTATTTTTAATGATTTAATTGTGATATTCCATTCAATGTTGGTACAAAAAAAGTGTTATAAATAAAAATAGAAATTACTATTTTTTGTTTTACAATCACTGTTGACTGTAAAGTAAATAAATAAAAAAAATAATTTTTATGCTGACTTAAATTCAAAAGGTCACAAGTTCGAATCTGGCCGACACAAAAAACTTTGTTAATTTATATCCCTGACTGGCTCTCCGGAAGGCAATCCGGATATCAAAACAAAAATTAATCCGGGAGATAGCGGTAGACTCGCCTCCTGTTATGTTGGACTTAAATATATGAAGCTATTAATATATATATTTAAATATATACATAATATACATAAAAAACCAAGATCGATACAAATCATACTCATGAATACAAATATTTACATCGTGCAAGGAAACGAACCCACGACCATAGTAATGCGGTGTGCTAAACCCTTGTACCAGCCATGTCGTTTAGGAATATAACGTCGCTAGCCTATTTAGTGACAACCTTCATACAGTTCCGACCCGACGTTCATATTAAAACACACCTGTACCGTCTCTTGACAGGTAACGCATCCTAATAGAGTACGTGGCAGCAATATATGTAATGTCCTTCACATTACAAATATTACACGACGAATTTATCTTTAATATTATTTTTATGACGTAGAAACACGTCAGTAATGTGACATATATGACTTTACATAGATATATACATGTATGAATTTATAGCTGTATATGAATGTATATCTGAGCCCGAGAATTCTTTTTCGAATTTTCTTTTGTCACTTTTTGTTTATAAATTTTGGAATTAACCAAACTATTGCTCAAGCAACTGTTCATTGCGCCCCGCTAAAACAGATTTCAGTGACAACAAAGCACTAGTTTCTAAGTGAATAACCACGGTTTTAACTCAGCTAGCTTTCCAGTTAAACTCTTGGGTTAATTTGAGAGGAGTTTAATGTTAAAAATATAAGAACATAAAACATCAGGCTTGGATCACAACGGTTTTTTTTTTCGGACTACTCTAATGCTGTTGACCGTAGCTGGCCTTTACAGCTTCACCGGACGTTATGGAGCGAGTGCAGATGGCACTCCAAACCCGCGGAAGGACTTATGGAGCGGCTGAAGGCCAACTCCTGCCTGACGGATACGACTTTAGTCTGAGGGCACCACTAGGGGTTCGAACCTCGGCTCAGGCCATCATAATTTCGATCCCCGTTTGAATTGGACGGGGGATCGATCGGAGGGGGGATCACAACGGTCGCTTGCACTTTCTCTCTGTGGCGTGGCGTCCTTTTTGTCCCTTACACATGGTAACGGTTAGAAGCGCGGGCGGCGCGCCGTGGTCTGTGATTGGTCGGCGCGATGCATACGCCTGGATCGATTTTGGAGGCACGCTTTTGGCGGTACGGTTCGAACGTGGGCTGAATTGGGCGCTATACATATTTTTTTTTATTATATAAAATTCTCGTGTCACAGTTTTCGTTCCCATACTCCTCCGAAACGGCATGACCGAGATTTTGTTTTGTTTTTCATTTTGTGAACGTATTGAGTAGGTCTGAGAATCGGCCAACATCTATTTTTCATCCCCCTAAATGTTAGGGGTAGTCCACCCCTAATTTTTTTTTTATTTTAAGTCAAAACAACGTTTGCCAGGACAGTTAGTTTTTATTTAAATAATTTTATTTGTACATATACATTATGTAAGTATTATGTATTACATGTTAATCATAATGCACCGCTCACATGAATCTCTGTTTGCCCTATGTTTGACTGGGAGAAAATACCTCTAGATGTTAAGACCGTCATGTGTACCTTTATTTGTGAATCTGTGCATTAAAGTTTTAATAAATAAATAAATATATAAGCTTGAAGTAAACATAAAAATATTAAAGATTAAATCCAATTAAAATTATGATATAAAATTTTGATTCTAGAAGTTTTTTTTTGTACTACGATGGTGGTAAAAAAACATACGGCCCATCTGATGGTAAAGCTTATGGACGCCTGAGACACTAAGGGTATTACGTGCGCGTTGCCAACCCTAAAGAAATCTTAACATACCCTTCTTGAAAACCCGATGCTGTAGTTTAATATAAAGATATTTATTTTTGAGTACAAGATATAAGTTTCGATTTGACCATATCGTTTCTACCTACTAACTGTCTTTAAATAGAACTACGATATTGTGTGCTACGTCTAGTTTGATTTAACTGCTCGAAGTGTAAAGTACCTACATATGAATATAGTACATAGAGATATTCATTGTGGTATAGTTGGTGCTGCCGCTCCGTAACTAAACACAACATTTTAACTGAATCTTAGAACACTGCATCAGTGAAAACAACCAAATCCCTTACACTGTTTCTGAAATTAGTTAACAAACGCTCATACTGACAAAAATAAAAAAAAATATTTTCCACATGATAACACTATGCTAATCTAAGGAACCCAACTTATTCAGTGCATTACATACTTAGATAGTTTCAAGAAACTTAAAGACTGTACAAATAGAAACTTACGTAATAAAAATAAGCTAATTTTACCTAAATGCCGTCTACACAAAGTTAGTAATTCATTTTATGGTAATTGCGTAAGATTCTATAATAAACTGCCAGAGTCTACGCTAAATCTTATAGAGAGGCAATTCAAATCTTATATTAAACAAATGTTATGTAAAAAAGCCTATTATAAGATAGATGAATTTATAGATGATAGCAATATATAGCAAGAATAAGTTTATTTGCGGACAACGTTATAATTTTAATTTTCATACTGCTTTCTTGATATATGATAGCGTAGCGGCTTTTGTATTGATTGCCGCATGCATCCTTATGTAAAGTGCGAATACTGTAACTACTATATAGTAATTTTTGTAGCTGTGACGTGGTCGTGTGGAATGAGTAGTCATGCTCACTAAAATGTCCAGACATGTGGCGGCGTGGTGGGCCGGGTCAATGGGCTCCCTAAAATATGGTCGAGCGCAGTGATGGCTGGCTCATCCGTCATACTCGTGAACGAGTGCTGCTTGTAGGGACTGGTCTGCTCTTATCACTACGACTGATTTAATCTTATTGCATGATTATATTTGACCCAAAAAATTAGTGCTTGTTGGTAGTTTGTATTCACACGTTTCGACTTGTAAATGTAAACTTACAAGGATTATTTAAAAGAGCAACACACAAGTTTCTTGCTCGTTCTTCTTGTGATGAGACAGCTTTCCGAACGAGTGGTAGATAAAAAACAAATTGTTATGACTGTTCAAAAGTGCTTAAATTAAGTTTATTTGAATAAATGATTTTCTATTCATAACCCAGATAGATCCAGTCTATAAAAAAATATTGCTTGTACAAACAAACAATGAACCTTTAAAACCTAACCAGCAAAGAACCTAATCCGTAATTACTACACTTCACAAAATCAACTGTAATGATTGTACTATGCTACGGAATCCCTCTATATCACAATTTTCAATCAACTTCGAAAGCCCTCGACTTGGCTGCAATCTAAAGCCGACGAATTATTAGGATTTTCATTGGAATTGACAGCGGCTTGTCAGTACAGACAGAAACATAGATTTATATATATTAGATATTACAAATGGAATTTTACGTGTATGTAAATTCATTGTCATGAATTTTATAACATAATTCTATTTAAAACAATTAATAATTCGGATTTCATAAGCTTATTATTTTCTCATAATATTTTTTTTATCTAGTATAGCGGACGAATTTCATTTAAATCGGTTCAGTAGTTTTGACGTGAAAGCGCAGCACACAGATAGTGTTAAGGATTATAGGTCATGTAAAGTATAAAAAATATATTGCAAATTAAAATAAACATATTAGAATAAAACGTGGCAGGAGACGAACTATCGCAATATAATTGATTAATTATTACTTTTGTTATCGGTGTTTCATTCAGCGGAGAGTCAGTAAGAAATAGAACAGAATTGAACTAACAATCTTCGAGTTGCAAGTCCGGATAACGATTTTTTCTGTCAGCTAGAATTGAACCATCAATCTATCCGGTTGTAGGTCCGGATTTTAATCACAAGGCTACAATGGTTTCAAAATAATCCGATCGACCCAACCGATTGGGTTGGATATCTTTAAATGACTAACAAAAAGTTGTTCATGCACGGGATTAAAACTAATATAATTGTTGCCCATACAATAATATAATTTAAAACTAATGAAAAAGACAAAACGGTCTATAACTCAGTGAGGGTCATGAGTCCACTCTCTCTGCTATTCTGTTATAGCCTTTATCAGTAAAATAATACAATATGAGATCGACGACTACGATAGCACATTACTTTAATATATTTGAATAAACATTATTGGATCTAACAGAGGGGTTAAATCGTTCATTAACGAACTACAATTCGCAATATAATAGATTAATTTTTAGTTTCGTTATCGATAACATATTAATGCTTCATTCAGCGGAGATATTTTTAGCCTAGTAAGTCAAATATAAATAAACACTTTTATATATTTTTATTGGTTTTGTTTTGTGGCGGACCACTGTTAAACTAGAATTGAACTAACAGATCTTCGAGTTGCAAGTCAGGTTTATCTTTTTGTAATAAGGGATAAGGTTTTGTGTCGGCCAGAATTTTTTTCTGTCAGCTGTAATTGAACCAACAATAGTTAGGTTAAATCAAATCAACTAATCTGATTTGATTTGATTTAGATAGATATAACATAACGAGATGGACTGACATTATCTAAACGACAACACAGTCCATTGTACAATATTCTCGTGCAGCCAATAACCGTCCCAGGCCCCAGGAGGCAAATTGCAAGGAGCTCTGTCGCTAAAGACCACAACGATACTATACCACAAGATATACCATCGTAAAAGTCACGACCACTCTGCCAAGAGTGAACGACTTAAGAAGAAGAAGATGATAATGTGTTTTACTTGTAATATACAATTATATGTAGAAGGCAGAGTTAAGTAGTAACCTAAGAATATGTGTATAAATACAAGAAAGCGGATATCTTAGATATTGGATATCTTTACAATATCCTGAAACATGAAAAAAATATGAATTATAATTCGTCTGTCGTTTCGTTACGTAAATCAGAACAATCTATTGGAATTCTTATGAAAGAATTCCCATTGGATCGGTATCGAGCAATATCGTTTTCAGTTTTAAAGGGAACTCGAATATTACATTACATTTCTCATTCTTTTTATTGCTATGGATAGATTAGAATTGTAATTGTATTACACTTCTATTTTTATACGTTGGTGGTAAACAGGCATATGGCCCATCTGATGGTAAACGGTTACCGTAGCCTATGAACGCTTGAAACACCAGGGGTCTCGTGCTTGTTGTCAACCCTTCTTGAAAAATTACATGATGTTAGACTCTATATAAAACCACAATAGGTAGTTCATTTCACAATCTAAGTGTACGCGGAAGAATGCTCCTCTGAAACCACACAGTCCGGGACCATTTAGGTTGCCGCGTGTGACGATGAATTTCCTGTTAATGACAAGCGGTGTAATGGTAAAATCTTTGAATAAAAATTTGAATGGTGGTCAACTCAAACTAGTTGGCGTTGTAGTCACTGATATCTGCTTTAGGGGAGCATGCTGGCGAACGGTTGCGGTTGACAGTAACAAGTGGTAAGATCCTGTGATTTTTCCTAATTGTACGTATAAATAATTGAGAGTCAATAGAATAGAATAGAATAGAAAATCATTTATTCAAATAAACTTACATTAAAGCACTTTTGAATAGTCATTACATTTTTTAATCTACCGCTCGTTCGGAAAGCTGTCTCATCACAAGAAGAACGAGCAAGAAACTAGCGTGTTGCTCTTTTAAATAATTTTATTATTACTTTACATTTTTAAGTTTAAGTGTGTGAATACAAACCACCAATTAGCACTAATTCTATTAAATACTCAAATAGAAATTCTTCAATTCTCTTATCTCAGAAATGAAATAACAATTACTTAGATAATTTATGATTTAATATTTAAAATATAACAAACGTCACTTCCCTACAACAGCTCGTGATCAAGTCACGCAAAACCAATAACTCCCAATTATGGACCTTATTTACGACAGATATACTGACGACGTGATTGACTGGAGACTGACAGTGTCTATTGTCGTAGAATGACACTATCAACTTATGTTGATATGTATGATATGACACAAGTATCTTACATAATGACCGCATCAAATTTAAAACAATATATATCTTTCAGCTGCATCATTTGCCACACAATTGCGTATATGACAACTAACAAAAATTCCAAAGCTGAGTGATGGTATTGGAATTTTCAAAGTCACCGTGACTATACTCAAGTGAACTGTCTTCGAGATTTATATATATATATATATGTGTATGTATGTACATGTATGTGTATCTATATTTTTAATAGAATAAAATAGAATAGAAAATCCTCTATCCAAATAAACTTAATTTAGTCACTTTTCAATAGTCATAATATTCTTTCAATCTACCTCTCATTCGGAAAGCTTCCTCATCACAATATAAATATATATCAGTATATTTATGTTTGTTAATAATGGTTGACAATAAGTGTTTTTCTTTTTTTCTTTCACCAGACTTTCAAAATTCCTATACAACAACTAACAAAAATTCTGCAGCCGAGTGATAGTATTGGAATGTTCAAAGCCACTAGGACTATTCTCAAGTGAACTGTCGGCGAGCTATCTGAATTACTCAAGCGAGTAATAGGCAATCACTATCGCATGTCGAACTACTATTCTCAGCATATCTCTTTACCCCTTATTGTAAAGAAGGGCTTTACCCTTTATAAAATCAGCTATTCGAAATTCCGCTACGCACATTTTTTTTCGCACTACTCTAATGATTTTGTAATAACAAAATCATTACGTGTGTACATGTATGTGTATAATTGTATATATGTATGTACAGCAATAAAAAATTTGTGTGTATTATGTATGTTGTATTACATATGTCAATGTTTATACTAATTAAGTACTATTTATGTTTGTTATGTTAGCTTTAATACATAAAGAACACTCAGTTGACTAATTTGTTACTTACATTTCAAATTTAAAACCATAGTGAGTCACGTGATGTTGGTGACGTCACGATTATGCAGCCACCAATAGTAATAGAAATAAAGAGTCCGGGGACAAGGAGGGAGCGGGCTGCTCTCACTCTGTTCAAGGCGACCGAGACGACCAGACGTGAATGTACAGCGACGCAATTTATGTGGAGTGTAATTTGAAAAAGGAATAAAATAAAAGTACTGCTGCATCGACGTATCATTTCTGAAACTTTCCAATATTTAATAGTGGTTGACAATAAATGTTTTTCTTTCTTCTTTCTTTCTTTCAGCAGACTTTCATAATTTCCCTCACAACTGCGTATATATCAACTAACAAAAATTCCACAGCTGAGTGATAGTATTGGAATGTTCAAAGCCACTAGGACTATTCTCAAGTGAACTGTCGGCGAGCTATCTGAATTACTCAAGCGAGTAATAGGCAATCACTATCGCATGTCGAACTACGTACTATTCTCGGCAAGTCTCTTTATTCCTTATTCTTGGGATTAAAGCCTCTTATAAAACCAGATTTACAGTAGGTATTCGAAATGTCGTTACACATTTTTCTTTTCTAGCTTCAGCTTTTTAATCACCGGACGATAGAGGGCGAGTGCAGATGGCACTTCAATCATACTCATGAATACAAATGTTTGTGTCGGGCGAGGAATCGAACCCGTGACAAAATAATAGCGTTTATCATAAAATTTCTAACGGAAGTCATTAGAATATTAAGAGATTATTGAATGACATAATAGGAGGAAACATACCGGAGCAACTTGTAATTCAGTTTGGAATGATTATGCAAATGTTCTTATATTACATCGTAACAATATTATATTGTCTCGTTTTCGACAACGAGCATACAAGTATATATTCCGAGGCAGATATTGATAATCTCGATGGTCTAGAGGTTTTGTGGACTGCTTTAGTTAACCAGTTACCGGTTTGATTCTTGCAAGTCTCAAATTTTTAATTTTTTTATTTCTTGTAATGTGAATGATTTTGAACACGAAGCTCGTACGATGAGCAGGAATGTAGAGAAGTAAATTTCTAGACGGTTGAACAGGAGATGTCCCCATGAAAAAAAAACTCGTATTAAGATACTCGGGAGAGTTAGGAATAGGATTTTTTTTATTCTTTAATGCACTTTAAAGAGTGTACAAGAGGACAGTATAATGCCATATGGCATTCTCTACCAGCTTACTACCAACCTTTGGGTAGAACTAGAAAGCATTGTAGAGCGGTAATGGCGAAAAATTGTGATATTAATACTATAATATATAATTACCTAAAGAAAATCTATGTACATATATAATATATATTGTATATATATATATATATATATATATATATATATATATATATATATATATATATATACATATATTAATAGAAATACATAAATTACACAGAATAAATAAATATAAATACGCTAAATATACTTGAAAGTACCTACTTAACTCAACACCAAATAGTTAATGCTCATTTTGACGACTCAGCAGATAAATATTCTTAGATCTTGTATTCACACCATATAAAGTTGTATAAGTATGTGACTTTGACTTTAAATAAATTAATAAAACATCTGATAACTGATAAAGTGGGGCGAATAATTCAATATATAAATAAAAGATTAGCCGAGAGCGTCTTTCGTGTTCAATAGCTGTCTGAAATTGGATATTTGTTTCACTGAGAGAATCAATACAAATAAATGTATGGATTCGTCTTCGATAATGTTAAGATTACACATATATATATACAGAATGCTATTCACTGTGTGTCTACCTCATAATGCTTAAAATATATATATAATTTTATCGAATTAATCGTGTGTATTTATACGAATGAATACAATTGTAACGTGCTAGGAATCGAACCCGCGACCGTCTAAAGTAAACCGCTAGACCACCGAGGCCGTAAATCAACGTTTGCTTTCTTAGATAATCTTAATCTTATTTTAATACTAGGTTCTAGGCTACGCCCGGGTGTAAAATGTAGATGTATTATATATATAAACTTTCCTCTAGAATCACTCTATCTCTTAAAAAAAACGCTTCAAAATCTGTTACGTAGTTTTAAAGATTTAAGCATATATAGGGATGGACAGACAGCGACAGCGACTTTGTTTTATACCTTGTAATGATTATAAATGCAAAAGTTTGTGAGTATGGATATTTGTTACTCTTTCACTCAGAAACTACTGAACGAATTTTGTTGAAACTTTACAGTAATATAGCTTATACCTCAGAATAACACATACCGCATAGCGAGCAATATTATAAACGCGAAAGTTTGTGAGTATGGATGAATGTTTGTTACTCTTTCACGCAAAAACTACTGAAGAGATATTGATAAAACTTTACACTATATTACTGCTTATACATCAGAATAATACATAGGCTATAATTTAAAAGGATATATTGTAGATAAAGTAAGTGTGATGTAGACAAAGATGCGCGGCCTAGCTAGTCTAAATATATGTACATACAGTCCAAACTACTGGACGGATCGGGCTGAAATTTGGCATGCAGATATATGTTATGACGTAGGCATCCGCTAAGAAAGGATTTTGATTAATTCTACCCCCAAGGGGATAAAATAGGGGATGAAAGTTTGTATGAAACTTTGTCAATTTTAAACCGATCGGGCTGAGACTTTGCATGCATAAAGCTACTATGACGTAGGCATCCCCTAAGAAAGGATTTTGATAAATTCTACCCCTAAGGGGATAAATTAACGCGTGCGAAGCCGTGAGCAAAAGCTAGTACAATATAAAGTTATGTACCCCAGCAAAGCCGGGTCGTAAACTGATTGGATTTTATCGTCACACATTTTCTTTTACAGTGTGACCAACATATTCCTGGTGAACCTGTCGGTAGCAGATTTGCTGGTCACTCTCTTCTGCATGCCGGTACAGATCGCGAAGTCTGTCACACTGCTGTGGTACTTCGGCGAAGTCATGTGCAAGACTGTTAATTTCCTGCAGGGTGAGTTTTATTGATATATCATAATGAAATAATAACAAAATTCACTATTCACACAGCGCCATCTAGACCCAAGTTAAGTTATGGGTACTGGATAACTCATACAAATACATAGTTTTTTTTTTCATAAATACATACATATTATACATAGGAAACACGGAGACCGATACAAACAATCATACTCATGAATACAAATGTTTGTGCCGTGCAAGGAATCGAACCCGCAACCGTCGGAAGGAAGGCGGTTTGCTAAACCACTGGACCACCGAGGCCGTGGAATACACTAACTGTTTAAGTTTATGTTTACACACCAGTAGAGGATGATAAATTGAACATGAAGTCAGGTCAATTAGCCCATCTTGGCAAATGGCAATTTACCACGATAGTTTCCAGTGGGAAACACTCTTTTGTCATTCATCTAGTTTTTCTATCAATTAGACACAATTTTTTTTTGTATACGACGATTTTATTTTGTTTCTTTTTTAACTTTTATTTTAGTACGTGGTACATTGGATAATTAAGTACATTGTCTCCGCATTTTGACTTTAGTTGTTCTATCAAATGGAGAGTAATATTTTTTTTTTATTTATTGCCAACATAACACAAATAATACAATTTACAATAAAACAGAAAATAACAAATAAATAATTGTTATTTTCTGTTTTATTGTAAATTGTATAATAAAGTTGATTGTATATATATTCATATATATGTAAGTTTATTATATTATTTTGTATTGTATTATGTTATATGTATATTTATAACATTTCTTCCAATATTGTTACCATCGTTACACCTGTACCAGATGCAAATCTAATCACTTCTCTCCATCCTAAGGTTGCCTGGAAGAGATCGCTTTTTAGCGATAAGGCCGCCCATTGTTACCTCTTTGTCTTGTTTATTGTATTATATATTTTTTTTTATCATTTTGTACATAATTGTATATGTAATTGTATTTTCTGTGAGAGGAACAATAAAGAGTTTCATTCATTCATTCATAGAAAGTTGGCAATAGGCAAGTTGGCAATGGCATATTTGATGTAGATTTTTTTTTATATAAGGATTTTCTTTCGTCTCTTTTTTAACTTTTTTTTTACTAAGTATGTAGTTTCCGCATTTGAGTTTAATTGTTCTATGAATTGGAAAGTAATTTTTCACGTATATTTTTTTATATAAGAAAGTATTTCTTTTTTTTCTTTTATTTTCGTAAGTGAGATAATTTACAATTATTTTAAGTATATTGTTTCCGCATTTGTGTTCTTCAATTGGAGACTAGATTTAGATGTATATTTTTTATACAAGAAATATTTTCTTTTGTTTCTTTTTTAACTTTTATTTTAATAATTTAAAAAAAGAAACGGTTTAAAAGCTTTCATGGATAATTAAGTACATTGTTTCCGCATTTGAGTTTGATTGTTTTATCAATTAGGGACTAATTTCATTTCAATCAATTGTGGATTTTTTTGTATAAGAAAGACTTTTGTTTGTTTCATACGTGGTTAAGTAAAATAAATATATCCAGCCAGACGATTTTATACAAAGACTGACTACTTTAGTAGATCTAATCACAATTCAATTACCGATATATTCACCGTAGTATATATATTTTTATTCATCTTAATTCGTGTTCTATAGACAATCTAATAGGTAATCTACTTCATTCAGGACTTTTGTTATATTAATGGTCAGGACAGTCCATTATAAGAAAATGTGTCAGACATGTAAGTAGCTTATTACGCATTGAACAAGGTTAGTAGGTAATATATATACGAGTATATATATAATATATAAATATACGCTGTTCGTTAGTCTCGCTAAAACTCGAGAACGGCTGAACCGATTTGGCTAATTTTAGTCTTAAAATATTCGTTTAAACGGTGATCAAAATATATATGATGATAATGAAGAAATTGCATAGAAAATAATAAAAACATCAATTTTATTTTCCTATACAAAGTGCTCGTACCTGTCAAATAGGCTTCGTTCACAAATTTACACATGACTGATTATTTAATTCTGAATTCACGCAAGTTTCTTGCTCCTTCTTCTTGTGATGAGACTTCCGAGCTTTCCGAACGAGCGGTAGATTAAAAAAATGTAATGACTATTCAAAAGTGCTTCAATGTAAGTTTATTTGAATAAATGATCTTCTATTCTATTCTTATTCTTGAATCGGAATGGAGTTGCGGGGTCAGTTATAGTACACTCAAGTACAGTAGTATACTCGTATATATTTTTGGCAATTTATCTTTCGAAATAGGCGTATAATTATTAAATATTACGTAGAGAGACAAATTGTTATTCCAGAAACATTTTCGAGAATTCTATACAAGTCTTTGTCAAGTTTATTTGTCAGCCTCGATGGTGTAGTGGTTTAGCATACCGCTTTGCTTCCGATGGACGGGGATTCGATTCCTTGGATTGTACAAGCATTTTTATTCATGAGTATTTTTGAGTGTATCGGAGTTCCCTATGAATATTATGTATGTATTTAGAAATTAAAGAAGCTAAGTATTTATATTAGTTGCCTAGTACCCGTAACGTAAGCTCAGCTTAGATTGGGACTAGATAACGTTGTGTGAATTATTCAGGGATATAATTATTATGTCTTTATCAAATTAAGTCTAGTAAACTGTAAATTAGCAAGTCTTGTTTTAGAAATGCGATATTTTTATATTTCAATATGTATTTTACTAGCTTTTGTCCGCAGCTTCACTCACGTTAATTTATCCCCGTAAGGGTGGAATTTATCAAAATCCTTTCTATGGGGATGCCTACGTCATTGTAGCTTTATGCATGCAAAATCTCAGCCCGATCGGTTTAAAATTGACAAAGTTTCATACAAACTTTCATTACTTGCCCCTATTTTATCCCTATGGGGGAAAAATTAATCAAAATTCTTTCTTAGCGGACGCCTACGTCATAACATCTACCTGCATGCCAAATTTCAGCCCGATCCGTCCAGTGATTTTGGCTGTGCGTTGATAGATCACTATGTCAGATACTTTTGAGTTATATGTATTTAGATTACAGATCAAAAGTATTCTAAAAATTTCTAAAACGTACGTGTATTTGAGTATATGAGTATTTTCATACTGAGTTAATTCCTATATTCCTACTAGGTAGCTCTACTCGCTCAAATTTCGGCTGAACTTATTAATGCAGATCAAAGAAATCTTCCTAACAATGGGTTTCGTTTAATAATAAGTTAATTTATTGCCACTCCATCGATCCTCCAAATGAAACGGGGATCGAAATTACGACGGCCTAAGTCGATGTTCGAACCCCTAGCAGTGCCCTCGAACTAAAGTCGTATCCGTCAGGCGGGAGTTGCCCTTCAGCCGCTCCATATGTCCTTCTGCAGGTTTAGAGTGCCATCTGCACTCGCCCCCTATCGTCCGGTGCTGTACAGGCCAGCTGCGACCAACGGCGTTAGAGAAGTCCGAAAAAAAAAATTGCCCATTAGAATTAAATCAAGAAGTTTTTTTTATGTCCCTTTACAGCATATAATTTAAATGAATATTTGCAAAGATATTTCAAATTTAAAATGCAGGGACATAGCGGGCCGGCTGTACCGGCTCGGCTGGCGGCGCTAAATAAAACATTTGTGTAAAGAACATTTTGTAGTAGGTAGGTATATGCATGTATACCGCTAAAAAAGAATCCATTTATTGTATCTCCTCACTTTCAAGACACTCTCCTTGATGTGAATCCATATCTCGAGGTCCTTGGTGTTGATATAACTGACGTTCAGTTTTGTGGTCATTTGGAGGACAAGGCTAAAATAGCCTCAAAAGAGCTTGGTGTGCTCAGTAGAGTGAGACGGTATTTCACGGCGGCCCATCGCTTGCAATTATACAAGACGCAGATCCGGCCGCATATGGAATACTGTTCTCATCTCTGGGCGGGAGCACCACAATACCAGCTACTTCCATTTGACATTCAGAACCGAGCAGCCAGTCATTGGTAATCAACGTCTATGTGACTAACTCGACCCATTGGCTTTGCGGCGTGATATTGCATCTCTGTGCATATTCTACCGCATATATCACGGGGAGTGTTCTGAGGAATGGTTCAGATTAATACCAGCTACTGAGTTTCATCACCGTACCACCCGCCAGAAACTGAAATACCATCCTGATCATCTGGATGAATGGCGGTTTTCTAGAAACTTTTTGCCACGCACAACCACATTGTGGAATCACCTTCCAGCAATGGTATTTCCGAACCGATACGACATTGAAACCTTCAAAAAATGAGCTTATTCCTTTTTAAAAGGCCGACAACGTACTTGCAATTCCCCTGGTGTTGCGGGTGCTCATGGGCGGCGGTAATCACTTACCATCAGGTGAGCCATGTGGCTCACCTCACGTGCATGCGTTCTTTTGTCCCGTGAGTTATATAAAAAAAAATAGTATCAGCATTGCACCTGTGCGAAGCCCAGGCGGGTCGTTAGTGATAAATATAATAAGTATGAGCTGTTCTGACTTCTCTTTGAGGGTATAGCGTAACTTTCAAATTTATTTTCAACAATTACGCCATCGCAACCATTTGCGTTCAACTTTCCATAATTACGCTGTACAGAATGGATTGAAACGATAATTGCTTTAATGTGTTTTCAGCTTGTTTTACCTATAATGGATCTTTTGAGTGTTTTGTAAATATACCCAGGCAGACTATTAATACTGTGATATAATTAAAATACTCAATTTCTGCCTATAAATTATTAATAGGTACTCTTATAAATTTCGACAGATTTTTGTAAAAAGCCAGTTTATAAATAAAATTGGAGCGTCTGTTTGTAATATTGAAATAATCGTTTTTTACTACATGCACATGAATATAAATATGGTACGTACACCAAAATAACATTTTTTACATTTTTTGTGTGTCTGTCTGTCGGATTTTGACGGGACATTTTTTGGCAGGTAGCTGATGTAATAACTGAGGCTACTTTTATTTTAAAAAAATCATTTATTTTAGAAAAATAAAGTTAAATTCCACGCAGACGAAGTCGCGGGAACAGCTAGTTTACAATAAATAAACAGGCTTTTAAAAAAAAAAGGTAATTCAATTGAGTTTCTTGCCAGTTCTTCTGGACCGATTTTGACGGGGCTTTTATTGGTAGATAACTGATGTAATAAGGAGTTACTTAGGCGACTTTTATTAATAGAATAGAAACATAAAGTTATATTCCACGATGAAGTCGCCGGCACAGCTAGTACATAATCTATATGGAAAACACCCAGACCGATACAATCATACTCATGAATATATATTAAACATATTTAAAATATCGAAATTCCCATACAAATCGTCTAATTTTTGGTTGCATATCGTAAACGGACCTTTTTTTGAACTATTCTAATGTTCTTGGTCACAGTTGGCCTTTACAGCTTCACTGAACTACCCTATAGTTCAGTGAAGTGCAATTTGAGCAGGAGTTGGCTATAAAGCCAACTCCTGCCAGGCAATTATAGTCTGAGAACACCGCTATGGGTTTGAATCCCGGCTTAGGTCGTCGTAATTTCGATCCCAATTTGAATTGGACGGGGGATCGATCTAAGGATAACGTCCTCTTAAAATCAACATATGTCGGTAATAAATATATTGATTGAACTTCTTCTTACAGGTGTGGCAGTAGCTTCCAGCGTATTCACCATCACAGCCATGTCGGTAGACCGATACTTGGCTATCACACAGTCTCTGAGGCAACCCTGGATGCCATCCAGACGAGGAGCCTGCAGCCTCCTCGCTGCACTGTGGCTAGTGGCTCTGATGATATTCGCGCCACTACTGGGGGTGGCAGCGGTGGAGAGGGAGATGGTACCGTTGCTGTCCAGAACTAGAAATGGATCGGTGAGATATACATACTTACTATGGTATATATAACCCAAAAATGTACAGAGATTGCTTTTTTTAAGAAGGGTATATTAAGTGTTTCAGGCGTCCATAGACTGTATCCGTTTACTATCAGATGAGCCGTATGCTTGTTTGCCACCATTGTAGCATTAAAAAGTAATTTTTTTGGTATTGTTATATTATATTCGAGAAACGGAAGTAGTTTCGACCTCTGTATGTTGCATTGAGGTAGGTAAAAAATAAAACGGACGGTAAAAAAAAATAAAATATAATGTAAAAATTTGACGTTCATAAGCGGCTAAAATGTCCTACATGAATAAATGATTTTTGAATTTGAATTTGAATTTGAATTGAAATACGATTTTTGGACATTAATGAATTAATCAAAATATATATGAATGAATGAAATATTCGAGCTCTATTTAATGCCGATGATGGCTCGGTTAATAAAACGGTTGCAATTTCATCACTAACAGAGAAGGTTCCAGAAGCGCTGGTTAGGTTTCCGCCCTGAATATTTGTGGTCTCACCCATGCCAATGGTAGTGGAATTAAACAGACTAATATAAATCTATTAAGTTTCTGAAAAATGACACCGAATTTGATAAAATATGTAGAATTTATGTTCATGTACATTTTGACGGCCTCGGTGGTCTAGCGGTTTGGCACGCTGCTTTACTTCCGACGGTCGCGGGTTCGATTCCTCGCACAATACAAACATTTGTATTCATGAGTATGATTGCTTGTATCGGTCTTGGTGTTTTCTGTGTATATTATGTATTTACAAAAAACAATCTACGTATTGTTATCAGTTATCTAGTACCCATAATACAAGCTTTAGGTAGCTTAACTCGGGTCTAGATGGCGCTGTGTGAATTGTGTTGAGATTATTATTATTATTATAATGCACAAGTACTTTGCTTAAGTATGTTTGCATCATTGTACCTAGTGATCTAAGCACATAGTAATGATGAAAAATGAATATTTCTATATCCGGCAGTTATTTATTGTTTTATCCTATTACAACAGATTTATATGTCTTCATATCAGCTGTCTAGTACCCACAACACAAGCTCTGCTTATCTTGGGACTAGATGACTCTGTGTTTATTGTCCAGGGTTATTTATTATTTATAACACCAGTAATTCCAAAAGGAATATATTTAACACCGTACTTTCATAAATACTATTACTTAAGTGTGTAACTTATGACGTTGTTGGTACTTACAATCAAGTTATATATCTAAATATATAACTCAAAGGTGACTGACATAGTGATCTATCAACGCACAGCCCAAACCACTGGACGGATCGGGCTGAAATTTGGCATGCAGGTATATGTTATGACGTTGGCATCCGCTAAGAAAGGATTTTGAATAATTCTACCCCCTAGGGGATAAAATAGGGGATTAAAATTTTATCAACTTTATGTATGAAACTTTGTTAATTTTAAACCGATCGGGCTGACACTTTGCGTGCATAAAGCTACTATGATGTAGGCATCTCCTAAGAAAGAATTTTGATAAACTCCACCCCTAAGGGGATAAATTAACGCAAGCGGAGCCGCGAGCAAAAGCTAGTTCTTGTATAAATAGTAACATATTTATTCCACCAAAAGTACATGTGCGTAATAATAAAATAAATATAAGCAAAGCGGAAAGCGCGATGCGCACTCAACTGAAAAATAGTAAGCTGAACTGAACATCGCTCCGAGGTACATGAACTAAAAAGCTTTCAAGGGTTCACATATAGCTGTATCGATATGTTAAATACAACGTTTACGGTAACTTTTAAAAGAGGTTTTTTTTGAACATATAGCATCATCATTAAGTATTACATATAGTATAAAACAAAGTCGCTGTCGCTGTCTGTCACTATGTATGCTTAAATCTTTAAAACTACGCAAAGGATTTTGAAGCGATTTTTATTAATAGATAGAGTGATTCAAGAGGAAGGTTTATATATATTATTGGGAAGTTTCAGAAATGATATGTCGATGTAGCAGTACTTTTATTTTATTCCTTTTTCAAACTCACACTACACGCACATAAATTGCGTCGCTGTACATTCACGTGTGGTCGTCTCGGTCGCCTCGAACAGAGTGAGAGCAGCCCGCTCCCTCCTTGTTCCCGGACTCTTTATCTCTATTACTATTGGTGGCGGCATAATCGTGACGTCTCCAACATCACGTGACTCGCTATGGTTTTAAATTTGAAATGTAAGTAACAAATTAGTCAACTGAGTGTTCTTTATGTATTGAAGCTAACAATATAATATATGTATACCCGTGCGAAGCCGGGGCGAGTAGCAAGTACTATAAAAAATTTTCGTGTCACAAGTTTCGTGTTTACACTCCTCCGAAACGGCTTGACCGATTGATAAAATTTTATATGTATATTTAATGGGTCTGAGAATTTATAATTATTTTTTACATATTTTATTTGGCATTAAAAATATACAATAAAATTTCACCTACTATCATCAGCTATATTATAGCGATTTAAATTTTTATGGCAAAACAAGGTTTGTCGGGTCACCTAGTATGTATATAAAAATAATAAATATATATATTTGTTTAATATATATATTTATTATAAATAAAAATCTTAAAAGATAAAAAGATATATTGTGCCGATAAAAATGTTATCATGCTAACAGTTGTATAGAAAATGAAAAAGTCGGTTTTAAAATGTATTCATTAATTAATGGTAAATAAAATTATACTTTTTTTATCTTTTCGTGTAAAGATAGCTATTTTTATCGTTCGGTTCTGCCTGCCTACGTTGCAAGGAATTTAGTATAAAGTTTTATACTTTAAAGCATACCTCCAAATCATATGTTATCTACATATTTGGCTATATATACACTATAGCAGACTTTGAGCCAGAAATAAAGAAAATAAAATATATAAACGATTTGCTGACGTAAGCTACGTAAGCTGTCAGGCGAGATAAATAAATTTGCGGCAGTTTCAATGCATAAACATTAATTTAGTCACATTTTCCGATACCGTAAATGTTTTTCACGTTCCAGAAATTATTCGTCGTAGTACAGCCTTCACGATTAGACACTTTAATTTATTGCTCGTTGGATTTAAATTTCTATTCGTGCTTTAATGTTGGGAAATGTTAAAGATTAAATATTTGTAACATATTTTTAAATTAAATCAACAATAACGTGGTTAAATATAGTCCTGCAATACTTTAGAGAAATTTGAAATTACTTAATATTAAAATTATTGAAACGAGAAAATAAGAAATCGCTGAATAATAAGAAGGCAACCTATTGTACCTTATTACATATTATCACAGACAGACAGACAGACAAAAATAGTAAAATATGTTATTTTGGTGTATATACCGTATTTATATTCATATGCATGTAGTAAAAAACAGTTATTTCAATATTACAAACAGACACTCCAATTTTATTTATATGTATAGATTTACATGCCGGAAACGGCAGATCATGTTTGTCACAGTCATAGTTGGTCGGGCCTGGAAAGGATTGCCTCCGTTCAGAACCTGTAATTGAATTGAATTGAATTGAAACACTACCGTCATAGCGCATCTCGACGCAAAAAAAGTTTTGTTGCTTATTGAAAGCGCTTGTGACGTGTAGACCCGCTGCGAGTCGATGAGGGGATAAAAAGTTTCTTATATCGGCGCACAGATGGCACCGCTAGTTTGAAATTAGGATATTTTTTTAATAATATCTGTTATAAATCTGCCAGAAAAAAGATTTAAATGTCAAATAAAACAGTTCCTTTGCAAAAAAGCTTACTATAAAATTAAAGAATTCGTTAACGATAATAATGTTTTTATAGAAAAACTTTAAATCCATAGCACCGACAATATTATCTGATTACACTAATAATGAGTGCGTAGCGACTTCTATGTCGATTATCGCATACCTCTTACTTGTTATACTGTAATTATTTATATAAAAAAAAACATATATTAAAAAGAGCAACACACAAGTTTCTTGCTCATTCTTCTTGTCATGAATCTGCATTCCGAATGAGTGATAGAATCAAAATATGACTATTCAAAAGTGCTTGTAATGAGTTTATTTGAATAAAGATTATTTCTATTTCTATTTATATTTCTAAGGAAAGCAAGCCAGCACAACAGTTTTAAGACCATTATACACGTTCTAGTAAAAAATTGAAATGAATTGAACCACCAAGTTTCAGGAAGGTGAAATATAAAAAAATGCAGAGGGTACCGGAGAGGGAGAAAATCAGAAAACAGGGATTACGCGAGAGGTTTAATAAATTTCACATCCAAAATTGGAATACGAACTCCTAGAGATTATTATACCGAGGTAATTAAAAATGAAAATTGAAATGTAGATTAGTGTGCTCAGGTTTTCGTTGCATTATCCAGTGTATGGAAATCACCGGCATACATTATGCATTACCAAGTTCATGTTGTTTCGTCAATTCGTGCTAATAAATTAACATGAATTCTGTACGTCTGTATATTTCTTGAGATATTCTATTATTCTATTACTAGCCGACCCGTGCAGCTCCGTCTGCATCACACTTACTTGATATTTATCGTTATATTTCATGCAATTCACATAATATATTATTAAATTATAGCCTATATGTTATTCTGATATATAAGCTATATTATTGTGAAGTTTCATCAAAATTAGTTCACTAGTTGGTGAGTCACTAGTGAGGTCGCTCCGTGAAGGCTGCGAAGACACTAGGAGATTTCTGCGTTTCTGGTAGGACCGTGGCTGGCTACTTTAGTAGCTTGACTCTACACGCACAACGACCCAGATGAGAAGCCAATTGCGAAAAATGGAATTCAACTTACATTACATTACATTACATATCTGTCCGTAGAAGATGAGTACGCAGTACAGAATGAATACATTAGAGGAAGTATGAAAGTGGCACCGGTGTCAGAGAGGTTGAAGAGTAATCGTCTATCATGGTATGGACATGTAATGCGTAGGAATGAAGATCATATCCTAAGGACGGTGT